CCCCAAAACCCCAAAACCCCAAAACCCCAAAACCCCTTTATAAAATGGAGTTGTTGAACAATATATATAACAGTTCATTCCTCAACACTAAGATGCTTACCTGAGCTCATTTCCAAGCTTGGAGGGCTCTATCGGCTATTAATAGCACGGCTAGATCACTGGAAATATACCTCTTTGAGTATTCAGGGTGTACATAAGAACATTACCGTATAACAAGTTGTGAAGAAGCTGCAGTAATGTACCAATTAATGCATCTCTTCAAGCATAGATATCCTAATTTTGATATACATGGGAGATGTCATAAAACCAAATTTTGTCATTTTCAGGAAATACTCGTACCTTTGTGCCTGGATCTCCCAATCAGTTTTTTTTGTCCTAAAATCTGTACCAAAGACTCTCTATTTCTTGCTGAAATTAAACCAGCCAGCTGGGAGTTTACCCCTTACTGCTTAGGATGGTGGTAGGGTTAACTCCACTCATTAGAGAATTCTTTTTAGTGCTATCCAATTTTTGAGATGCTTGTTTTTGTCTGAACGATTCACTAAGAATTTATCACTACATAATCAAGCCAAGATGTCTGATTAGATCAGTGAGGAGCTGTTAAAGTTATTAATTCAGAATTTTGTAGCATTTTTGCTGCTAGTCTTTTAAGTGGGCAAGAAATCTAAAAATTTGCTTTATTCCTAGCCTCTCTGCTTTCTCTCAAAGGTAGTATTACTAGTATCCCTGCTAAAATATAAACGAGCTGATAAGGAGTACTTGAAGTTCCATAGCTGTTATATCTCTCATCAAGTGAAGAGCGAGGAAGTGATCTTCTTCTTGGTTGTTAAACCCAAATTGCTCAGCCTAACCCCCAGTTTAGCTTTATGGAGGAGATCTTCACTAGAACATAAATATCACCAAGTCTTGATTGTAAATCTGAATAGTTTTTACTTCCAGCTGAATATAGCTGAATAACATTCCAATCTGGTTACCTTTAGAAAGTTTTTCAGCACTATTTCCAGCCACAAGCCAGTCCAACTCTTTGAACCTTATCTTAAAATCCAGTAATTCTGAGAGAACTAGTCGGGCAGAACAGCTGGATTTTATTAAAATTCGAAAAATTGTGATAAAATGAATATATTTTGTGAAAGACATGGGTTTTTATGTACAAAGACCCTGCCAGATCACCTGAATTTCAATAAATATGCCCTCTAAATGTCTTTGAGCATAAATGACCACTGGTTTTGGACTCTACTACAACAGGAGTGGTTCCTCACTGAGGATATTAACAACAATAGATTAGGCCCCCAAGCCAGACACCCATTTAAACCAAAAGATACAACATATCAGAGGTAAAACTAGGCCCATAACTTCCAAATAACACCCATCTTATCACCTCCGAACACCTCTGGGTCCATCCTAGATGATTTCCCTCCCAACAAAGCTCTAGAAACGAAGTCTTCTCCCATAATTCTCAACCTGTTCACCTCCATATCTCCCAAATTCCTCCATAAACTTAATTCTGTTAGTACTAAAACCCCTAAATTCCCTGTAAGAAATCCTGGAATTATAGCTTATAAATTTTAGGCTAAATATTGCAGCTGGATTAGGAGCCTTCCGAATAGAAATTTACGAACCCAAATTCATATGAATAAGGCGAAGCCAATAATTATGAAAGAAGTTAAGATACAATTAATCTGATGAAGGCTTTATGTTCCTCATCGTCACTTCAATGAATTCAGGATTATGTTTCTGTACCTCTTGGGTTTCTTTTGTTCCCTTTAGCCTATCATTGATTTTCCTAACCTGCTTTAACAAGTCAGTAATATCCTGAGAGATGGAAGTCTTGAACTGGCTCTTCTGGCCTAACTTAGCAGCCTTCTCTTCATCCACCTTGGCTCAAGATTTTGTGGAGAGTAATGGCTCAGTATTTTTGGCTGATAAAGAATGTGTCAAATTCGAGAACTTCGATTTCTTCTCTTCAATTCTTCGAAGAGGCTTAACGACTGCCAAGTTATTAGGCAAGGACTTGAATGGGTTACTATCCATATTCTCATTCAGCTTTTTCGAGGTCCTTACTTTGGAAGGACTAGCATCTTCATTGAGTAGTTCTTCTGATAAGTTTTCATCCAACTGTTCGTTTTTATTATCCATGTTAGTAAAAGTTATGATTATATAATCACTTCGATAACTTCATAAATATTGGGGTTTTGGGGTTTTGGGGTTTTGGGG